AGATTTTATGCATCATCCTCTCCTCCCTTCCTCCCTTCCTCCCTTCCTCCCTACCTCCTCTCAAGGAAGCATAGTGGTGCATTGAATTGTCAGCCAGTGCATTCCTGTTGATTCCGACTCCCTTATACCGGCTTTGAAAGATTCTATTTGCCGATGTGCCCAAAAATCATCAATGGAATCGTCGAAATATTTTCCGAAAAAAGTTAAGATGACGAAAACATGTTTGAAGGATGAGAATACTAGACGGCAAGGATTATTCTAGCGATTACATCAACTTAAAGGGAAAGAGGCTGAAACTAGTGTTTGATCTTAGAACATTTTTCCCCGAAAAATTTAAAAAAATTAAAAAATAATAGTTTTTAAAGCTTCACAAGGGGGGGGGGGCGTTGCCTCGTTGGTGTAACCAGACATTTTTTATGACGAGAGGGGTATACTGTCACAAATTTCTCATAGGGGTCCAATGGTAAGAGCAGATGTTGGAAACCATTCAGGTCAATTGGCTTTTAAGTTGCAGCGCATATCTCTAGCTTCTTTCCCCTGCGTTCAAGTCTCCTAGAAGGCACATCGTGTTACCGTGATTAAACTACTTTCCGTATATTTTAGGCTTTAGAAAATATCCCTTAGCATATATACATTATTGAATTGACAGTATAAGGAGAGTCATCACTGAATATGTAAAGTTAAAGTCAATAATTACACGTTAATCGCACTGTCCAAGTGTCTCGCAACTTAGACATCAATCTTGATCTTAAAAGACTTTTAGAGGAAACAGTTGGCTTCATCGTGTTTCTCTCAAAAATTACTCAAAGAGCCATGCACAAAAAGGGCCAAAAACGGCCCATTTTTGGGCCCTCGAAATTGGGGTCGAAGTGAGGTTTTTTTTCATCCTTAGGGTGACCCTTTACACATACTAAAATTTCAGATTGAGTATACGCACCGTTTTCGAGTTATGGGGGGGCAAAGTCCCCGATTTTCACCCATTTTTGCAGGTGTTTTAATGTCGAACTCCGGCTGTTACGAGGTACCAGATCTAGATATTGAAGCGCGGTTTGCGGTGGCTTGTTCAGCTATTCCTGTAGTATTTTTCCACATCCTTCACAAAGCCCCAAATGGTTTTTCGGGGGGTGGGGAGGGGGGCTTTATTCATACTATCATGACCGTTAGCGCATCTTACTGACTTTACTTTGTTCTCTTCTCTCCACGCCGCGGTCACGATGGTATTTTCTGTTGAGGATTTTTCTTCTTCTTTACATTATTTTACCAATTTTAATGTCCTCCCCCTCTTTTCCCCTTTTTACCCCCTCCCCCGCAATCCAAACACTTCCTCTCAAGTGCTTCTTCCTGTAAGGCAGATATGACGGGGTCATATGTTGGGGATTATTTTTCTTTCTTTACGATTGATAAACTTTGACCCAACTTACTTCTCCCTTACAGGGGTAAGAGCCCCCCTTACGCCTGTATTATCCCCCCCCCCTGCCCGCTCCACTTTACTTGAAGTATTTTGCTCCCTCCGCAGCAGAATGGGATGTTTCTGGCAAATAATGTTTTACTTATGTTTAGGTACTGAAATACTGAATACATGGGAGCCACCCTCCTACTCTTCTCCATTATTCCCCCACTTCTTCCTCTTCCCCTTCCCCTCTTGTTCATCCCTCTTTTGCCTCGTTCTCTTTACTTTTCACTTTTCTTCTACTTTTTACTACTTTTTTGTGGGAGTAATATAGTCACGCAAAGAGAAAGTGGAAGAGAATGTACCTAGGAAAGAATAAATCAATCATAGAAGTGGAAAGAGAAACGTGAAGAATATGAATAAGATACAATTCTTCACAGGAAACATCGTCATTTCTGCTGCGGAGGGAGCAAAATACTTCAAGTAAAGTGGAGCGGGCAGGGGGGGGATAATACAGGGGTAAGGGGGGCTCTTACCCCTGTAAGGGAGAAGTAAGTTGGGTCAAAGTTTATCAATCGTAAAGAAAGAAAAATAATCCCCAACATACGACCCCGTCATATCTGCCTTACAGGAAGAAGCACTTGAGAGGAAGTGTTTGGATTGCGGGGGAGGGGGTAAAAAGGGGAAAAGAGGGGGAGGACATTAAAATTGGTAAAATAATGTAAAGAAGAAGAAAAATCCTCAACAGAAAATACCATCGTGACCGCGGCGTGGAGAGAAGAGAACAAAGTAAAGTCAGTAAGATGCGCTAACGGTCATGGTAGTATGAATAAAGCCCCCCTCTCCACCCCCCGAAAAACCATTTGGGGCTTTGTGAAGGATGTGGAAAAATACTACAGGAATAGCTGAACAAGCCACCGCAAACCGCGCTTCAATATCTAGATCTGGTACCTCGTAACATCCGGAGTTCGACATTAAAACACCTGCAAAAATGGGTGAAAATCGGGGACTTTGCCCCCCCATGACTCGAAAACGGTGCGTATACTCAATCTGAAATTTTAGTATGTGTAAAGGGTCACCCTAAGGATGAAAAAAAACCTCACTTCGACCCCAATTTCGAGGGCCCAAAAATGGGCCACTTTGTGCATGGCTCTTTGTTAAGGTATTTAAATCGCAAGCTCCTGTGAGATGCAGGATATTTATTGCGTTGTTTCGATCTCGCTCCAGCCAGTTCGCCTTCAATATCTGATGATACAATGTGAGCGGTTTAAGAGCAGCAATTGCTGCGTGCGGAACTTGAAAAAACCTGTCAAATACTATACGCAGATCGCGCGCTCAGGAATGGATTTCAGACTTTTTTAACATATACTGAACGTGATTTTTGTGCGATTTTATCCAACAGACCCATTATAGTTGCAGCCCGCACTGTATTTTTTTAGACCCCCCACTATGAACATATCCATACAACTCAGGAAATACAAAAGACGTCAGAATCTTAGATCGCACCTCGAGCAGGTTTTCGGTTCGTCGTTTCTGGACTATACAGGAGCAAGGGGTACAAGTCCGCGCACTGTTGCGGAAGAATGATCTCAGAGACAGATCCGCAATGTTTCGTAAACAAACTCCACCATTCCGCTCCGTGGCCCAAATGGTTTGAACATCCGCGATCCTCACAAAATCCTATATAGCATCCCATTATATGCGGACGTTAATGATCGTATGGAATCATTTTCCTATAATTGATGACTCTTGCCTTGACTTTGGAGATCATCAATGAGTCTGTTTCGGTGCCTTAGAATGGTTCGTCGCGTACTTAAATTGATATTTTTTTTCTTCCGTAAACAGAGATGAAGAGAGGCCCGTCAAAAAGTTGCACCATATTCTCTGGCTAACTGTTCGGGAAGAATTGCTCTGATACTATTTTGCATTCAAATCTTACTCTATGATATAAACTTCATAAGAGTAGCGTGTAACACATAACGTGCGTAATAAAACTCTGTATTCTCACCTACAGTCGTATACTGTAGGCGTTGTACGTTACGGGGTGCTAATAAAAAATAATGCAAAAATAATACAAAATAATGCAAAATTGTGTCAGGGCTATTCTTTGCTAGACACTTAGCCAGAGAATATGAGATGCGATTTGTTGACTGGCTGCTCTTCATCTCTGAAAAAGCGCCCTATTGGAATGCATAAACTTTTAGCAAACTAGAGGATACGCCCTCTGACTGCTCCGCGGTCCAACCCTCCGAAGCGCTTTGCACCTCAGGCATTAAACGTGACGGTTTACTCTTATGATTTTCTATTAAGATAGAAAAAAGGGTAATACTCGAAAATCAAAAAATGTAAAGAAAAATACATTTTTATGAACAATACATGACGAAAAGAATTGAAGGCTGGGGTGGCATCCTATGAATGTCAAAAATGTGTCTTGCTATCCCTGAGAGCTAACTTCACAACCCCCTCGCGATTAAATGTGCAATGTGCATTCTGAGAATGCGAAATTAACGCCAGAATCCGGAGATCATCAATGACATTTTTGACGTCCTACATGCTAGAACTGTATCCATTATTTTTTCTGGTGATAAATTTATATAAAGTGACAGGCAATGATCCAACTGCCGATAGTTCACCGGTCTAATTCTCAATGCCTTTTGAAAAGTTTCAATTTTCCAACACTTAGATTTTTTACTTAGAAATTTAAAACTGCATCCTAAAATAAGGTGCTTCACAAATACCAAACTCACTGAAAAAAAGTCTCTTGGATCCAGAGTTTAAACTCTTAAGTAAATTGACAAGAAAAATTACTCTTGATTCAGACGGATTTTTGGTCGAATCGAGAGCCAAGCATATTAATTTAAACGGATTTCCTTTCGATTCAAGAATTAATCCAATTGAATCAAGATTATTTTTTCTTTTCAAATGGTTTAAGAGTCCGGACTCTGGATCCATACTTAAGAGTCACTTTCATGGCGCTCCTAAGCGCCACAAAACTCGACCCTCCCACAACCCGTCAGGGAGTTAATTGGCACTCCCGTTTTTCATTTAAAAACCCCCTGTCGCTATCCTTTCATGGGCGTCCCCTTCGTCTCCTCCCAGGAGGAACCCAATCGAGCAAAAACAACAACAACGACAACAACAACAACAACAACAACAACAACAGCAGCAACAGCAACAACAACAGTAACAACAACAGCAACAGCATCAGCAGCAACAACAACAACAACAACAACAACAACAACAACAACAACAACAACAACGACGACGACGACGACGACTCGCTGTATCCAAAAGGCTTTTTTCCAGTGTATGACTCAAAATCTTTCAGGAATCATGAAGGAATGACCCGCAAAAATCCACTCCGAACTTGCACACCTTGAAGACGCGACTCGGTGGGACCCGATTCCCGGCGAAAAATTTCCCAGGCGATCGTCGGGGAGACCGCGAATCGGAGGGTCCTTGAGCGGCGCGACCCTGGGGGGTTCCCTGCGCAGGGAGCAGGACTCGGCGGTGTCTTACTTTCACTGGTTAAGTCATCTCCGGGGCCGGCGAGGAAGGAAGGAGCGTGGAAGGTGGAAGGAAGGGGCTCCGTATAAAACGCAGCTTCGGCTCTTGACTTGTAAACATACTCCCGACACCGGGGAGAAAGTGATATACCACCGCCAAGACCGACTATCGTGAGTTGCGCCGTGCTCGTCTGTGATAGTGATTGTGATTTTTGGTGCTCGTTACTGGATTAGAATTGGAATGCCGATGAACAAGTAAGCCTTTTCCTTGACTTTCTATTTATTTTCATTTCGATTGGACACGAAGGGGAATGGAGTTTTGGATCGAGTGATCCGTGAGTCCACAGAGAAAGAAGACGAAAACACGGATGGTTACTAGAGCAATTTTAAAAAAAATTCTTAAAAACACTCACTTGTGCACTGAAAAAAAATCTGGGTGTATTTACTAAGAAAATGGTAAAATTACCAAGAATTCAGGGTTCTATTTGATCCCAGTTTTTTCTTGGTAAAATTACCATTTATGGAATTGGTAATTTTACCGAGAATCTCGGTAAAATTATTGAACTTTCTCGGTAATTTTACCGGACCTTGGTAAAAACGTCAATATTTTTTATCGACGTGGTAGAATTACTGAGATAAAATGGCAAAGGTACCGGGAATTGATTACCAATAAAAGTGGTATTCTTACCTGAGAAAAACAGTAAAAATACCGGTTTTTAGGTAAGCTTGCCAGTCTGTTTTGGTAAAACTACCAATAATTGGTAAAAAAGTGAGATGGTAAAGGTACCAACGGACCTTGGTAAAAACGCCGAGAATTTTTTTTCAGTGTGACGATTCTTTAAATTAACTAGCAGACGCATTTCGAGCATTCGACCCATCATTAATTTAAAAAATCATCCCAAATGAGTGTTTTTTAAAAAAGAAATTAAGTTGTTTTATTATCTTAACTTGTACGGAAATATTGCTACCTCTTTTATAAAAAGTGACAGGAACACTGGAAAAAAGTTTCTTGGATCTGGAGTCCAGACCCTTAAACAATTTGACAAGAAAATATGCTCTTGATTCAATCGGCTTTTTGCTCGAATCAAAAGGAAATCCGCTTATAATGAGAGGCTTGGCTCTCGATTCAAGCAAAAATCCAATTCAATCAAGAGTACTTTTTACTGTTAAACTTTTTGAGAATCTAGACTCTGAATTCAAGAAACTTTTTTCTCCAATAAAAAAGGCTTAGAGTACACCTACATCGAATGAAACATACGTCCAAATGAAAATATTGAATAAAAAGTTCAATAAACTTTTGGAAATAGTTTCTAAGTTACTAAAGTATACTGTAAGAGACATGCCTACCTTTACAGTCCTTTGGAAGGTATAGGAGTTATGTTAAAAAATGCTACTAGGTGACATATTCATCATTTTATTTTAAAAAAATGCATCTAAAATTACAAATATTCAAATCATGAAATTAGTTTTTCAGTAAAATTAATCGTTGTTGAGATTAACTAATCCTCATTAAAAGCATGTCAACATTCTTTCATTGAAAAAGCACGCATAAAAGCATCGTTTCACCGTGAAGTGGTTAACAATCTAACTACCGGGCCAGAATAACGATTTATACTCAATGATTTAGGCGTATCTTCATCGCAACTTTCTGAAAGCTCCAACTTCATTTTACTTTATTTCTTTAACAATACTGGGTAAATAAAATACCTGCATGAAATTATTTACGAATTATCTACACTCGTAGAAAATATTTACAGAAAATTTCCAATTTTTAGTTTTGTTTAAAAAAAAAATAATCGAAGGTTTTGGACTGTAAAATAGGGAAAAGGCTAGAATGCATCTCGACACAGCGTATAGTAGATGTAGACTTGATGAATATCATGGAAAAAATAAAATTGATTTGGTCAGCCCAGCTTTACCTGTCTGTGTTTACTGCGAAGTAAAGCTTTATGGTTTATGGCTGTTATTTTTATGGTATCAACAATTTAATTTCCGTCCATAAGTTAAAAGCATGGGCGGTGACTGCTCTATGAGAACCTATTCTTCTCATAAAACAACTTCCTAATCGCGTTCTGTGCTCACTTATTTTGGAATTAAATCCGATCTCTCTCTCGTCTAGGCACGTCTTTAATAACTGTAACCGTTTTACATAACACCTGGTGGGTACCGCCTGCGTTAAATTCGTTTAGAGATTTACAAAAAAAACGACCCCCACACAGCGCAATGCGTACTGTTATGTTGCGATATAACCGGAAATCGATATCAATTATTGTGTTGCGATCCGTGTCCATCAGCAGCAATCAATATTATATGTTGCCCAGAATTTTTAAGATGCAGATGGACTATGTATACAAATTAAATATTCTGAAATCTTTAATTGCATTGTTTACAAAATAAGATGGAGCTGTAACATTTTAAAATTTCCGAAAAATATAATAATCTCCCAGCAGGAACTAACTTATATTTAATAATGCCCTATTTTATAGAGAGGTTTTTAATGATTGATTGACATTGCTCACTTTTACAAAGTTTTAATTAAAAAAAAAAAAATCTCAAGATTTCAGAAGAAAAAGTTTGTCAATTTAAAATTACATCATTATTTATTTTCAGTAATGGGAATTTTTGTATCTCCTTCCTATCTGGTAAAATGTTCTGCGCCCTATTTACATATTTGGGCATGATATTCTATCTAACTGTACTAATACACAACTTTAAAAAAGAAAATGGATACATTTGAGAAATATGATCCTTCTCCTGTAATTAAGATAATATTCTGAAAATATTTCAATTAAGCGGCTAACGATGTGGCAGTAATTTAATACATAATCGCAAAAATAAAATAAAAAATGTCAATATTGGAGGATTGGAGCTGGTATTTCTTATAAAAAAAAAAAAAAAAAAAAAAAAAAAAAAAAAAAAAAACTGTGGTTTTCAGTGATTGAGACGTTGGTTGCAAAAAGAGCATTTCTTGGTTGCAGTGTTTTAGAATTTCCACTGCTAATTCATAGTTTAGAGAGAAAACCATTGGATGGAATTTCTGAAATTTTTCGTTTTCAGCATCGTATCATGAAGAAAATTCGATAAAAATGTCAACGAATTCCATACATTTGCTCCAATTGTGCGATGAAACATTGACAACAACCAAAAAATGCCCATTTTGCACCCTGTGTTTCGATTATCCATCATCTTCTTTGATAGGGGGGTGGGGGGGAAGCTCAGTATCATGTCGGTAACAATTTAAAGAAGGGAAAATATTCGATCACTCACCGGTTCAGATTATTTGACTTTTAAATTTTAATTTTAATACCGCGCGGCAATGATGCCTTGTATAACACTGGGTTTGGGTGTTGAAGTGTTATAACTGAGACTAATTATTGATTTGAATATGAACGGCGATTTTGACGCATTGTTCCTCGGCCCCGGCCATACGTTATCCGTTTCTGTCCCATTTCCCCGACTTGCAGAACCTACACCTCTTACGCAAGCACTTCCTACATTTTGCGCGGTACACCACACCACGCATGCGTGGACCACTTTGACACCTGTCTGTCTAGACGCTCTGGCACTTCCAGCAATGTTATGAATAAGCGGTGCCGGCCAGGTCGACATGAATCGATTTTAAATATTTCCCTCCCACACTGAAAAATAAAGTTAATGAACACTGTTTCTCATTTTTTTATGAAAAAAATCGCTTTGGTTTAAAAATGCTTGAGGTGAAAAATGTTTCTTCATTTAGATTGTATTTTTATTAAAAACAAATTTGAATGAGAGGAAATGTTTTTCGACTTGAATGGTTGATTTTTAACTCGAAGAAAATGTAATTTGTCATGACGAGAAATGTATAGTTCTTTGAGCTATTGAAAACGTAATTTTAATTAAAAAAAAAAAAAAAAAAAAAAAAAAAAAATTACTTTGCACCTAAAAAAGTTCCCCGGCATGAAACACAAAGACAAAATGTTTTACTGGTAAAAAAAAAAGTTTCATGACAATTTTTCCAGCGTTAGGGGTACTTTTTGAAAAAAATCTGGGACCCTTCCTGCGCTGACGGATTAGTTTAATTTGGATGAAATCGTGTTTTGATCGTTAGACCTTACAGATAAATAGATGGACGTGAGGCTTCTTCGTCCAATTTTGAACTTCCGGATGCTGCATTCTTGGGAGGAGAAAAAATGTTTGACGGACCGTAATATCTTGAATAGGAGTCAATTGCAGTAATATCCGTTGCGCACTTATCGTATTTTTTGTTACAATTTGGAGAGGATACCGGTGTTAGAATGCTTAAATTTGTATAACTTATCTAGTGATCAAATTTTCTCTTTTTTCCGAGTCCCTCCGTTATACATATATGGCTCTGGTTGGTTTGTTTAAGTTAAAATTTATAGTCGTAGCTCAACTTCTGTCCCTCTAACCTATATGATAGGAGTTTTGACATTAGTTTACTTATATACTGTCTATTAGGTATTCCTTGCAAAACGCGAAACACTTCCTCTCCGCGACCTCTCTTCGATATCTCCGAGATGAGCGAAATCTAGCGCGCCGAGAAAAATGCAAATCAGGAAAGCTCTGAGGTGGGGAATCAGCAAATCAGTGGAGCAGAAATCAGCAGATCAGCAGATATGACTCGCGATCGCGTGTATAGAGCACTTGTTCGGGTTAATTATTTGCTTTGTTTTCGACAGCTGGCGTGCTGGGGAAAGTAGATTGCGACTCAGCCGGGAAGTAAGAGTCTGCAAATTTTGGCCGGTAATCTTTCAAATCTTCCGAGTATTCCTCATTAGAGACCTCAGAATCTCCAAGCTGTCCTCGATCTTTTATCGGCTGAAGCGTGCGCTCAAAGCTTAGAAAATGACCTTCATACATCGAAAACTAAAATTTTCGCCGGAATACAAATGCTGCAAAGTCGTGTGACACCCCCCCCCCCAAAAAAAGAGGAATAAAAAGCTGTCAGCTTAAAGTTCATATACATATAAGAGGCGATTCACCTCCATTATTTCCGAGAAAGACATTGATAAGTCGAAAAGACAGGATGCAGAGGGGTCAGGGAGGATACTTTTTTCTTTGTTTCGTTTTTCTGATCATTCTCTCTTTAACTGCATGAACAAGCTTGATTACACAGCAGAAACAGGAGAGTCTGTTATAGGGATTTTGATTAAATTAAGAGAAGTTATGTAGAAAAGTCTCGCCACCTCCTCCCCTTGTCCAAGCAAATATATGAACAACCCTTCTAAAAAACTTTACCTCCCCCCTCCTCAGAT